TCACCGGACCAAATGTTCTAAAAAAAACCCCAAAACAAACACAAAGCGCCAAAAAATTACAACACGCCGCTATTAAAATTGCATCCAGGCTGATCGCTAGCCAGAGCCACTGCTGGCCAGGCCGGGTGCCCCTGGCTGGAACCCGAGCTGCTGGAGTCAGGGTGCAGCCCCTGCTGGGGGGGCAGAAGGGACCGGCCCAGGGAGAGGAGGCATGGGGGGGGGATTCAGGGCTGGGCTCCCCCAGTGCACTACCCCACCCCCACACTGCTCTGCTCAGGGGAACCCCAACACCCCCCACGGCACACAGGACCCGGCCCGGTCTCCCTGGGGTGCGGGGCTCTGGCTCGGCATGGGGGGGGTCCCTCAGATTCCAGAGAAGGATGGGGGCTCACAGGGAGCTGGGGCAGAGGGAGGGTCATTCAGTCTCAGCCCCCCCAAGCTGCCCCTTGCATCCCCCCCACACCCTGGCATTCACCCTGGGTGCCTCCTGCCCCCAGCAGCCCCGCCAGCCCCATGCCCCCCATGCTGTGGCTAAGCCTTGGGGGGGGGGGGGAGGTCAGAAAACGGGGGGAACTGACGTGAGCTGCCAGCAGAGCAGAGATGCTGCCCCCATCCCCCACTACCCCCGTTACCCCCAGCAGGGGACAGGAGGCGGCTGGGGGGCGCAGGGCAGGGGCCGGCTGTGTCACAGCAAAGGGGCTACGGGCTGCATGCGGGGTCCAGCCAGTCACGACCAGGGTCCTTCCCTCCCATCGACCACCCCAGGGCCACCAGGCCCAGCATGTACCCAGGGCTCTGAACCAAGCCATAACCCCACCACCACCACCACCCAGTGCCAGACTCGCCCATGGCGGGTGCAGGGTTAAATGCCCAGCAGACTGGCGCCCTTGCCTGCCCAGCTCCTGCAACCGGGCACCACGGGAGCGGAGACCACTGCTGGGCCGGAGGGCTGAGAGCAATTTATAACCGGGGAGAGGGGTCAGGATGGGGCCCCTGCGAGGCAGCCAGTTCCACCAGGGGGGCCATCGCAGACAGAGCCCAATGGGTCCAGCCAACCCGGTACTCCCCCTCCCCCATCAGCCCCACCCCGCCTGGATCAGACCCACAGCCCCATCCAGACCGCCGACACCCCTGCCCCCGGCTCTGGGAGGGGAGTGGGGGCTGGTGGGTCACAACAGGGTGGGCTGGGAGCCAGGACTCCTGGGTTCTCTCC